TGGGCTACGGCTGGACAGGAGGTTGCAGAACCAAATGGCCTGGGATGGACTTTAGAAGAGAAGGAGATACGTGGACGGCCAATTATCAACAACCATGCGAGGGACACAAGGCAGCAGATCGCTTGAAGATCACCTACGAAAACTTTTCTTTTAAAGTCAAGAACATAGACTACGGCAAGCCTGTTGTAGACACTATGAAGCCCATTGTTCAAGATGTTGGAGAGATACAGAATGAAGATCCTTTACCTGTAGAAACGACAATCACTCGCGAGATAAAAACCGTGCGAACTGTGATCCATTCCTCAACAAGCAGATGGAAGGCGGGAATTGGTGCATCCATCTCACTTAAATACAAGTCCCCAGGCTCCGTTGCTGGAGCAGTTGCTGGCACCTTCAGTGCTTCAGTGACCTTGTCAGGGGAAGCAGAGAGCGGTCAAGTGAACAAAGACGACAACGGAGAAATATCTTGGGATATCATGAGAGTACCGGAGACGCAAACAGTCGATGGTCTTTCTACGACAAGGTACCAACTAAACGTGGCGAGGAAGAACGTGACGGTGCCTTATAGAGCCACGATACAGGTTCAGTTCAGTGCTAAACTGGAAGGATTCCTCCGCTGGGGTGGAGGCAAAGGAGGCTCTAGTCCAAATTTTCATGAAACTCACCAAGGATCAGAGGACCGACCTGACTTCCCGTACAGCATAGGAAGGCCTGATGAGCCATTCTTCAAGTTCTTAAAGAGAGTGAGTCAGAGGGATGATAAACCTTGGTTGTGGAACGACATGAAACAGAAGTACGAGTGGCTGCCAGAAGTGATCCATGCTCTGACTAACGAGAGCCTGTATGAGTTCGAGTTGGAAGGAAAGTTCCACGACGTGTCTGGACTGAGTTGGGATGTCAAATGGTCCGATGTCCCAATCAGTTAAGAGCATTTACTTCAAGCAGAGTATTTCAAACACAGCGTTAGAATATCAGTGATTACTAACTAGGAAAGAATTAAAAACTGATAACTATAAAACCAAGTCGTTTTTTTTTTCTTCGGTTATTCTCAATCGGCATCCAGAGCCCGCGTTTCCTTTGACCTACGGTCAAAAGAGGATGTCAAAAACGAGCTTCGGGTCGATCCATTCGTTGGCGAAAGAACGAGGAACGATTCAATATCCATTGTTTGAGGACTTGAACAAAGGAGACCAGATCATTACTTATTACAAGTGTTAATTATATTGCGCGTGTCTAACAATCGAAGTTTTTAGAGTATCGACACTGTGCTATTAGCCTAGCACTTGTTGAAAGACTTGGCTATTTACTTGAAGTTGATAAAGGTTAGTCAAACACCGTAGCGAGTTTGTGAAATGGTTCATTCACCCCCTACTAGCTTCACATTGATGGATGGCTAAGTATTTAAATTGCTCGCCGACGCGGCTTAAAATACTCGTAAAACATGAAAACTTACTACACCAAATCAAACGCGTGGACTTAAATTTCTTAGATTCTTAAGCCAAACAAGGATTTTCAGGGGCCTAGCTAGGGGGGGGGGGTCCTAGGGTGCCCGTGACTCCCTCCTTTAGTAAGCTTTTTTTAAGCAAACAACCTACAACAGGTGGCGAAAACGACATGACAATCTGGCCAGTACCCTCACTTTGACACAGTGTGACCCTCCTTTGAAAAATCTTGGCTACGCCCCTGATTTTCGGACACTCTCGCTCGACCTGGACTTGATTACAGAATTTAAGCAATGACGACGGCGACCCCGAAGACAACGCCAAGAAAAAAAAAAAGGAAGTTATATTTTATCGTCAAATTTCGCAATTGTCTAGATGTGCTCAGTGTGTCTATTGGTCACAGAACTTGGTCAAGCTAAGTATGTAACGCCAGTGCTCAATTTCGAATGAAAATACGAAAAGTTAGCAGCCGTCGTTCGTACGCAGAACTTAGTGATTTCACTTTGTTGTTTTGCAAAGGACGGCAAGGAAATGACCAAAAATTTAGAACGCACATGCTCTGTAATTGTTCTACTTCTTCAGTTAGGTGGCGTTCTCGTTGCTGTCAGGCAGTTCAGCATTTTTTGTCTGACGTGGGCGAAATGTTGTTGGGCGTCATCACGCAACATTAGTCAGCGGATGGAAATACCTGGATGCTAACCGTCTTTGCTACAATTCAGTGGAAAAATATAAAAATAAATTAAACGAATTTACTAAATCTAGAAAAATATACTTTGTTCTAACTAAAGACCATCCTTAACAGTACATTGTTTTCATAGATTTCACCAAGTATTTACAATATTCATAAAACGTTTCGTTTCTTAAATTTCTAACAATAACAGTATTGGTATATGTATGCAATATGCTATTGTAGGTAACGAAACGAGAAAACCAGATAAGATCATAGAATATAATTTGCCAAGGGCAATGACATGGGAAGAAAAAAGTGAGTTCTAAATCCTCAGAAGTCCTTATGATACCGGCGAGAAGGCAAATCATATGTTATCCTTCTTGTTCTTAATATCTTGCAAAGCTCCTTCGGATGTTCAAAATATCATTCCACTTTAACCTGAGTTCGTTCGGCGTTTCAGACTTTAGGTCACTGATGGTTGATATGAAAATTTTATGCACCAAAAGTGAGAAATGCAGGATAAGCAGTGTACGGTTACACTGTAAATAAAATACTATTAGAGAGAGGGTCTTTGCACTGCCCATTTTCAAACGTAACAATAGAAGAGTGTACAATATCTTAACGTAACATTGTAGTGATTTCATTTCGTAGCATTACACGAAACAACCTGATCCTCGTCACCTTTAGCATTATCTCAAACGGGACTCTTCGGGACTGCGGGAGTCTCGGGAATCTTACGACGAACTTGAATTTATACTGTCAACGTTTACATAAGCAAGGCATCCTAAATGAGGTATTTTCATGAGCGCACACGAGGGGCAAAGAATGCCGCCAGCAACTTTGACGTTTCCTCCCTACAGAATGAAGAAATGAAGTAAAATGATTAAGACGAAATCAGGCCAATAGGAAATCGAACAAATTCAGTTTTTTATGGACAAAAACCTGGTACCAGAATAACTTTAAGTACATTACAGTTCTTTTTGTATTTTCTAAAAGCTTAAGATATAAGACCAAAAACAACAAGACCGGAAATAAGACCAAAACAATTTCCCATGGGAACTCGAGAAAATAAATTTCAAAGTTCAGTGAAATTGTTCAAACACAGGTAAAATTTCATCATCAGTTTCATTTCACCAGTACTTACAAATGTTTCGCATGAACTTCAACATTTGTTTTCGACATTTGGTGTTGTTAGAAATGATTTCTTTTGAGAAGATATTTAAAACAGTCGCACAGACGTTTGCAATACAATGTAAATAATCTCAGTAAAAAGTTTTTGTCCGCTTGCCACTCGAACTTCTAGTGGATTCCTTCTTAATACAGTTGAACTTTTTTGTTTCAATTCTTTGTTTTTGTTCATTTTGTTTTTGACAATTTGCACTCGGTTGTTTATTATTTCAAACCCGAACCCATTTGACCTTTTGATCAAACTTTTATCTTGTAGTATAACGAAATTAGTACAAAAGTAATATTACAGTAACTTCAAATAGAGGCTGCAGATAAGGAATGAGTCGTTCCTCCAAATAACTTGCATATAGATTACTGATTAGCAATGATTATGGTGGGACGAGGGGTGGGGGGGNGCGCGCATCCGCCCTGACTACTACTCGGCAAATCACATGACCTTCGAATACAATGTTCACTTACCAAAGTTATGTCTTCTTTCTGGATGACCACATGGGGACGCGGGGTAAAGTCGATTTCTCCTTTACAGCTCCGGCAGATAGCCGGCTATAAAACATTAAAAAAAAAAAAAAAAAAATTGAAAAAGGTGTTCTTACTCTGAAAACGCATCGAATGCTTTCGGTCCACACTACGCCGAAGAAATTGAAAAACGCAACAATCACCAGTCATCATTTTCAAAACGCTCCGTTTTAAATGTTCTGTCCACACGGAAACGAAAGGCCGGCGTTTTCAAATTCCTCCGGTTTGAAGAGCCTTTTCGAAAAGTTCCGTTTTCGTGTGGGATTAGTGTGGATGGTAGGCCTAACCGTAGAAATAAAGCTGCGTTTTCAAATTCCTCCGACGTAGTGTGGACTGGGCCTAAAAATGGCTGATTCAGACGATACATCTTTATGACAGAAGCTTATGGCAAGAGTACGACACGAGTCATTTTGTATAATCCAAACCTACAATTTCACAGGGAAGTCGTAGAGTTGATTTACACGAAACAATTGGTGTTGCACAGTTGTCACAAAAATGTCTTATACGGCCTTCCCTACAACATAACAACAGAACGTGGTGATCAGTTTCTATAATCTCTTGAGCTCTGTGCAAGAGTTTGCTATTATAGTTTGAGAGAAAGCAGGTGTTAATGAATAAAATAGGTTTAGTTTAGAATGAGTTTAGTACCTGAGTCACTTCCTTCGGTAAAATTGCCTTCACGAAGTGTTCCTATTAATGAGAAAGAAAGATAGAGTGAGACCAGCTCAAGTGGAGAGGCTCTAGATCTATACTGCGTGTCAGCTCATGAAACTCGAAATGCTGTGCCAAAGTAGAGTACTGTTAGCTCAAGACGCGTTACAGGTTCGGGGCGTAAGTCAAGCTGCTTTACCATTTAATATGTAACAAGTAGCCGTGAATAAAGCCAGCACGATTATGCAAAATTACCTGGAAAACCAGTGATTTATTTTAGTTTACCTTTCTGGAACCAAGAATGCCGAGAATTGTACTGTTTAGCTGCAGGCACCTCTTCGCGCGACTGACGGCAACATACACCAAGTTTTTCTCGTCCTCTCCATGTTCACCTAAAGATATTAACAATCGTTACAATAAATGTGAAGAACAGCGTCAGATCTAAGCAGGACGCAAGACTATGGTAGCATCACATTTTGGAAAGCTCTTGACTGAAAATTCAGCGAAGACTTCAGGTGCAAATCAGTAGACGCGGTAGAATTCTAGAAATTGCCTCAGTTCTAAGAAACAGCAATACGTGAACGAAAAACATCAACCACAGTCGCAACAACAACACGAGCACGTAAATAAGGCCTCGATTAGTGTCCGTTTTGCTCCTGATTAGCTGACTGAAAACAGCAAACGTGTTCTAATTGGTCAGAACACCTGGTGCATGACAATTGCTAACAAGCTAAACCAAAGCTAATCCTAAGTGCTGTCTACAACCAATAAGAAACCACTCAAAAACGGCCTCTACTGAGCGATGATCACACTAACTCCATGCCACTCCAATGTCTGTTCCTGGTAAAAAGTCATCTGTGACTCGGACGGTATCAAACTCAAGTCCTTTGGCTTTGTGTGCCGTAGAGAAAATGATGTCTGCAAAAAGGAGAAAACAGCTTGTGCTCAAGATAAACAGGAACAAGGCATTAATGTATCGTAGCACTGAAAGAGGCGAAACGTATCAAAAGTCCGTCAACAGCGACAAAGAAAAGTGCGGTGGTACAGACAGAGATTTGAGATTCTATCACAAGAGGTTTCTTACGATTTTAATACAATATAGACACGTTTGGAAACTTATAAGGGAATGAAACTCCAAAGGGGAAAAGCTGAAGAAGCCTATCGATACACCTCAATCTTATATTAATTAAAAAACAAACAGCAAAACTGAGTGGCAGACAGCGTTCTGTGCACGACACATTAGACTGTTCACAGCTTCTCTGTTTTTGAGCGCACGCGAAACAAAAAGAGAGTGAAGCCAGCGTGAAGAACGCGGGGGTGAGTTGGGGGGGNTGCTGGCGTCCAGTTCTCGCGCGATTTTGTCCACGCGTTCAACGATCGAACAAAATTACGAGGAAATAGAGGACTGTAGACAATCTAATGACACACTGACACCAAAACATGAGGACAAGAAATGAAACCGGTATAAAGAGGTGCAAGGTCTTGTCATTGGCCCAAGGATCATGGCCTCTGGATTTTCAGCTTCCTACAATAAAATTAAGTCGGATAACAAAAATCACATTTTACAAGAATTGCGCACTAAGAGTTTAATCACGTGACAAGCGATAGCCTGCAGTGTACATGTTATTCCCAAACGAGCGCTGGATATGTTAGCCATTCTGGCAGCCTTCAAGATAAGCGACTGTTGCGATATTCTCGGTCTAATACTTACGTGTTGGTTAAATCACTAACCTGCTTGCTGTAAGTTGGCTACAGCCTTGGACTTGATCTTCTCAATTCTGTTCTGCAGTAGCACGTGGTGTGTTTCAACGATCTACAGCACGAAAAAGAAATTTGCCATTTCATTTTTCCCCAAGAGTGACGAGTACTGTTAAAAATTACTCTTTCACTCTTTCAATGAAAGACTGTGTATTTAATGTCACTAAATTTTTCTTTTCTGGAAGGAGAGTGGGGTGAGGAACGTTTTTGTGCATGGTGTTTTTGGTGCCTGGGATTTACACGAAGGTTAAAAAAAAAAAGAAAGAAAAAAGAAAGAAAAAACAAAAAAAAAACCAACAAGTAACTAAAATAAAAGAAAAAGGAAGAAAAAGAGAGTCAAAGTTATGATACAATTGGTCACGAAAAAGAATAGCTCACATTGTTTTTCCTTTTCTGTTTTGTTTCTTTGTGTATTGTTTTGTTTTGTTTTGTTTGTGTGGTTCAATCAAAAACAGCAAAAGCAATCAAACGTAAAGTTATTCACCGTCACTCTTCCTGACAAAAAAACCGCTGCTTAGAACTGTGAGTTTTTCATGGGGTCTTGACGGAGCTAGCGTCACAAAATTCGGTGCACTTGCTAGTTTATCCTTGTAGAATGACAAACAAAAGCTCCTCGGGGTTTTAGAAGAAGACTTGTAGTCTTGGAGTACAAACCTTAATCTTGCCAAGCAATTCTGGGTCAGGAGCCACCTTAGCGTATTTCTTTAATTCAGAAAACGACTTGAATTTCTTGATCAAAGCATCATTGATTCCCAGATAAGCTGAAAAATAAAATAAATGTCAATACTTACATGTACTCAAAACAAACAAACAAACAAACAAACAATCAAACAAACAACCACACTGGCCAAAATTTGAGCTGTGATAGGCCGAGGTGTCTATACGAAATTACTGATATCATAGTCCGTGTCAAAAGTCCTGTTATGTCTATCACTAAATACTGGTCTTTGATAACAAAATGTAAATAACAAGAAATTCAAATTGTTTATAAGTCACTCACGTTTATTTGTACCAGCCGTAAACAGCTTGTGAATATCAAGCACTCGGTCAAGAGCAAGGCCTTGCAAACCCTGACAAAAAAAATAGTAGTTAACAAAAACGGTTTTTTATGTTCATAATTCTAATATTCAAACACAAACTTGCCTCTCAAAAGAAATGCGCAATTCACTCGAGGCGCTTTCACACGAAAAAATCTTTAAATTTTTAAAGTGTCGTCTATTCATTTACCTAAACAAATCCGCTCACAAGAAACCACACCTTCTCAAATTTAAGATAAACATAATGATAAAGCACTGTATAAACAAACAATTGACAATATGACTTACCCCAACAAATCCAACTTTGGAGTTATTGTTTGCACAACAGACATTAACTGCTTCATTAAACAGCGTGTAATTACACCGAGTGATAACGCATACTTGACCAGATTTTTCACCCATCACAGAACCTTTAAAACAACAATACACCGATTCAGTGTAATACTCACAACCTTTCACCAGAGTTCACCACCAAACTACTGTGTTTGTGAGGTACAGTCAATGTTAAGTAAAATTCTGTCACTGTCGGTACCATACCCAGCTACAGCCCTTCGGATTGTTTTGGCCCACCCCACATGTGGAGGCACCCCATAGGCCCGGATCTCTAGACATCAAGGGAAATGAAAGTAAGCTCAGTACAACTATATTCACCTCTCTTAGCTCCTCCAACCAGAGTCTTGTTTCGTACACCCTTCAATACATCCAGTACACAAGATGCCACATACGCTATCTCCGGCCCAAATCTGAATGACTTCAAAATCAACAGAAAATATAATTATAATTTTTTTTTTTTATCCAAAACATAAACCCAAGGTAAATGTTTTGAAAGTGACCAGCAGGTATTGATTTTCTATTTCACCATACTTGCTCCTCTCACTTTTCTACTCATAGACCCTGGATACGCATAATATACACTCAGCACTGGTAACAACCATATGATAATAATTTTGCCACAAAAACAGTCATGTACTTCCCCAAATGCCTGCAAACTCTACAGTAGGTGTTCAATTGCTCCATATCATTGGGTTAACATAACCGAACAACACATTTCCACACAACAGTCTAAATGATTGCATACAGTACATGGCAAGAGCAGTTGTGCCTCGCATACAAGTGAATGAGGATTGATTTTCTGTTGAAGGCATGCAGAAAGGGCATGTGTCTTATGCTTGGAAAACTCCAGTTTTAACCTGTCTAGCCCGTTTCATTAGACACCAATCGTGGCGTGTTCTAATGCCAACCGGGGGTTGCCACATTGTTCTCCAGTATTAGCTCTTAGAAAAATGGCTGCAAGATGAACTCTTAACAAGGAAAATTTATCTTGAGTTCTGACCTAAAATATATTTCCGTAGCTTTTAGATAGCTATTACTTAGAGTGTCCACTAAAACAACTAGACCACTAACCCTCGTTTTGCATCAGTAATATTCACTCACAGAATTTCAGGATCGTAATTTAACTGTCATCATTCAAACTAAAGCTATCTGTACTGGGCAGAAGTTTGATCTGGTGTTGTACAAGTCTGTGAATGAACCTTGGTGTGTGACCACTGAAACGAAAGAAACTGTGCAGTACGTAATATGGCGCCGTTTATTCACCAACGCTTTCAAACGTGGTCTTCAACTTGAGGTACTCTTGGAAAAGAAAACTTGAGTTAAGCTTGTATTCAGTCATTAACAACTGACCTGTGTGAGGTAGAAGGTGTGAGTACTGGTCACCTCCTGAAGGGCATTTCTTGCTCCACGAAAGGCGTAAATCTGTTGATGCGGATCACCAACCAAAATCTTGGCACAGGATTGTCTGAGAAGAATGTCTGACGCAGCTACAATACCACAGAATGATACAAAATACGTCAACATGACAGTACATATGGTGTAACTGTATAAGCACAGTAACCTAATATACTGTTCATGTAAGAAGGTTCAAATCTGCAACGATCACTCAGTAGCGTTGACAAATTATCCTGTTGTTGTTGGTCGTGGTGGTGTAGCCTGCGTACCAGCCCTTTCCTTTCCTTTTCCACGCGGAGAGATCGAACAAGCGAGCGAGAAAGCGCCTGGGGTGAGCAAAAATATGGGTGAAGCAGGGAGGAGGTGGCTAGAAGGAGGAGGGGGCCCCTCCCCCTGATCCCTATTTTTCGCACTCGCTCGCAGTTTTGTTCCCTTTGTGCGCTTTTTTGGAAACGCCTGCTACGCAGGCTATTGGTGGTGGATTATTGTTATCTAAAGATTGTGAACAGTGATAATTGGTGAAGGGAATCTCGGCTAAAAAAAAAAGTTTTGCTCCAAATCACAAGTTGGTGTTTGTGTTAATTAATCTGATTCAGAGATTTGAAGTCCATAATTGTTTGCTTGTAATGAACGCAGGACGCATCGCTTCTGCTATTTTAGGATTTCAAATTTCTCGCGTGTCGCCATGTTTATTTCTGCAAAGCTTAATGGGAATTTATGATGTTAATGCGCAGTAAGACGTTTTTAAAATAAACTATTGCGCGAATCACAAAAAGGCTCCTAATCGTTTATACTTCATATTCCGAATGAATATCTACGGTTCTAACCAGAAATCGTTTTCTCAAAGCTCCACAGTGAGATCTCTGACCATGCAAGAAGTCAACATGGCGGTGCCCTTGTGATTTAATCTGAAAACCAAACACTTTGTATTCGAACTATAGCTTACAGAGATATCAACTTAAAATCTAAAGATCAATTACAGAGAACCATTAGGTATCCTTTGGAACTACCACTGCTTTTCACCCAAGATTCCCTTTAAAGTAAGTAAGTCAAGCCTTTTTGGAGCCTCTAGTTGCCACTGGTACCTTATACAACAGCTGCCTTCCCCAAAAGAAAAAAAGAAATCGGAGAGAACGTCTGTGTGTTAAGTTAGTTATTATGTATCACTGCTATCATAATCGCCCAATCAATAACAAGTAAACAATGGTAATTTTACCAGGAGTGCAATCCTGAGCCTCATCTACAAGGAGACAATCATATCCATCCAAAACCGGTCTGTTAAGCTGATAGATCTTGAGGTAACCTAAACAAAATAACAAATTAAAGCTTTGACAGAGAGCGTATTTTGGGGGGATCAAGGCTGGCTCACTGAAGAACATGATGTAAACACAAAGAGGTCACACTGTATATACATGTACAGGTAGAGGTACATGAAGTTCACTTTGGACTTTTCATATATGTAGTCAAAAGTTGTTAGTTCAAAGAACATCTCTTCACATAGTTCTAAAAATGTGGGTATCAGACGCACAAGAGTTTCATACTTGTACTACAGAGTTACATGTATCATTCTGTATTTACTACATGGCTAGCTCCATTAACGGGCAAGATGAACTGAAGAATTTCCTGTGCTGTGGCTGGCTACCCGGGCAGGCAAGATGACACAATCTTGCCTGCTCGGGATTACCTGCTGTGCCCCACAAGAAAACTTGACCAAGCTTGTTCAATCAAGCTGAATATCGACCTTGTTCATTTTTTACATGTTTATGGTAGGCTCAATTTCCTCTTTGGGGAGGAACGTGGGCTCCTTTCCCAAACAGCGGCTGGTAGTCAAGCCTAGTTCATGGATTTCAATGGTCATCTTGGTCCATTAACATAAAAAAAAAAAAAAAAAAAAAACTTGGCCAATATCCAGGCATCTTGACCTTGCACTTGGTCAATAACACTTATTATACAGAGTTTTGAAGCAGGTATGTATACTGTATGTACATGTACTGTGCATGAACTGTGGCAGAAGAGTGAACAGAGAATATTACTGACAAGAAAAACTTACCATCATGGGTGATTGGAAAATCTTTATCTCTAGGATCCCTCATTCTTTGCCACAGCCCTTCAGCATGTGATACAACTTTCTACATGCAGTTACATGGGATAGATGACAAAGTTAACTTTTATTTAAAGTGTGATTATGCAGTCATGTAGTGTACAGGGTATGAATGCTATGTAATGTTTTTATCATGAAATACAGAAATTTTAGAACTACTGTTCAGTAGTCTCTAAAATTCAGTCTCCTTGATTTCCATTCAGTTGAAAAATTAAGTAGTCCCATGTCCCATAAGCTTACAGAGGAAATTGATCAAATTTTTAGTTTTAAGTGATTTTGTAAGGTGTTTCTGGACAATGAGATTCAAGGGATGTGGGATTAAGAGAGATGGAACACATGTAGACAGTTCGATAAAGAGCTCATAACAGTTAATTTGAGTCACAATCTTAGTTGATGACTAAATTTTCCTCCTCTGAAATATCCATGACTGATATTCAAAAGATCTCTACTGTCCTCTAACAGCTTGTTAAGCCACAGGTGATGGGACCGAAGACCTCATCAACTACAAATTAGTGACTAAAATGATGACAGGCAACCCATTACACTGTATTGAACTAACCTGAATGTGCTTGTCACTGTTCAAATAAGTGACGTCTGCACCATGATTACCAAAGATTGACTGCACTATGTCACTACCCTCTGATAAAGACACCTCCACAACGACTCTATTGGTACGAGGAACATGTTTGGCTTGCACAGTAGTGTCAGAAGACGCTATGAAGTTTTTCAGAGTATCTTCAACTCGTCTCGCATGCAGATAGCCACATTCATTCGGGAGGGCATTCATGATGGTGCTGATCCGCAAACCAAAGGCGAGCTTGTGTTTGTATCTGTATGCAATTAATTAGTATTTTTAATTAACAGATTGACAGTTTTGGAAAGGTGAAATAAACTATATGTACAGTACCGCTACCACCATTTCGAAAGGCGTGTTTCACTTCACTCGAGTCATGCCTCGTTTCTCTTGACACGCTACTGTACAAGGGGAGTTACATATCTTAGAGAGTGGTTGTATAGAATGATGTACATGTACATGTATACACTATTAAATTTAAAGCTTCAGGTTTTGCAGTCAATTAAAATCCATATGCAATTATACATGCATTTGTAAGGTCCTAAATTTGCATCTTGCTGTTGGGAAACTGGAATTGATTATGATAATAATGAGGATGACATGTATGTGTTGATCCAAATTAAGTGTCACTTGAATGTCAAAATTACAAAATTAAAACAAAGCAAACAGCCATGGATAATAAATTGGAGACAATAATGTGACTGTATAAAAGGATCTCTAAAGAAAGACCTTTCTTCTCAAGGTATGGAATTTTTTCTTGTTTAACATCTGATGTGTCCCAGTGGGTAAAAACTGAGTGCCTAAATTAAGGTTAGCTAAATGTAGGGGGGTGTGCATTCATACAAAACAAATAAATTTAAATACATATACCACCGAATACTATTAAGTGCAATGTTACTAACAGTACATTTTACTTACTGAAAGCCTACACCTCTAAAAGCCAGGGAGTGGATTGTGCGAGACTCCACATTGCTAGGAAAAGTCTTCAGTGCATGTTGTTGAATTGACCTGTTTTCAAACAAAAAATGGTGTAGTTGCGTAGAAAGTTAACGGCTGGGTATTTTAAAAATAATTGCGCTTTGTACATGATATGATTCAGTTTGTAAGATGAAATAGAAATGTATACATTTATATTAAATAACTAATTTTAGGGTAAAGATGTCCAGCRRTGTCACACAACATGTGACTGAGGTCTCACAAGAGCTACATYAAAAACACAGAAGCCACCTCACAAGTTCATGGGCCCCAGCCACACTTGATAATAGATACAAGAGGMTTTTAAATTCTWACCCAGTGACCCATGGTGATGCATGTACAGTGTACAGTGTACAAGTCATGTACATGAACACACATGAAACAAAAGTCAGTTCCAACAGATAACCTCCACTCACTTATTGTAAGCCACATTAAGGAACCGCTCCATTGGCCTCATTTTGGTGTATTCAACAAGAGTTGTCGTCTTCCCAGTTCCTGAAAAAAAAAAAAAAAAAAAACATTCGAGGGTAATGTCAATAGTATTTGTCTGTTATGAGCACTAAGTATATATTCACTTCGCTTCTCAATCTAAGCTGTACCAACATGCTTCTTGTCTATATAACAATGTACAATGTAGTTGCTCTAAAGAATGAATTCATAAACAGTCTGCAGTGTAGCCTTGGACCTACATGTGTACTTCTTCTTTAAAGTACACTAGGAGATATTTCGGTACAATCACAATGTAATGTGTCAATATATCGATCGTATCTGCAAGTCTAAGATAAATAGATGTACACATACGTGTAATTGTACCTGCAAATGCTACAATTTTTACGATCTCCCCTGACTTGACATCATGTTTGATGATGCGCACTTGCTCGTGTGTGAGTTGTAGCTTGTCAGTGACAGATCTGAATGGTAAAAATATAGTAATAAAACAGCATGAGGTGGTGTTTGGTGTGGGTCAGGGGTATGGAATGTGGGTAGAGATAAAAGTTTGATGATTCTGGTATTGTGCAGTTCCAGAAAATATCCTGGGATACTCCCCNACTGTACAACGTACATTACCTGCTTTGAACTGTCCATAAGAGTTTCTAAGAACGTTTCTATCAAGGGGAAGTTGCTGTGTGTTCTCAAATGTGTCAACTGTGATGACTGTCCCTTTCTTTTAAAACCCTTCATAAAACTGACAACAAATAGGACAATATTTAACAGCCCTGATAAGTAAAAGTTAAAAAATGCAAAATGGACTAATACTGATGTATCATTGTCAGTGTTGTTGCATGATTGGTCAAATTACTCAAATGCAAATAACTTGATAATAAAGTGTTACTTCCAGTATGCAATGCTGCAAGTTAAAACTACATATAATCACTATGTGGTGATGCATTGCAACTTTGGTGCTTTCAAGAAGATTGAAAGTAGGTGGCTGGCTACATGTAGCACAGCATCTGGTAGACTGCTGTACAACTTTCTTATACATATTTAATATTTGTCAGAGCAGCAGCAAGTGGTGGGTCTAAGTGGTGGGTCTAAGTGGTGGGTCTCTTAAAGTACTGCAACAAATATCATGTTGGTATTTTTTTTTAATTTTGATGACTAAGAAAGAAATTCGCCCAATTGTAGCTACATGTTCATCACTGCTGTCATAAATTAATGATTTTTAGACATTTTTGGAAGCTTTCTAAGCTGACCGACCAGCTTTCTGATCAGTTCTCTCGTCTACATGTATAGGCTGACAAACAAGCAGGTTTATGTATGTATAATAATTACCCAAGCTTAAAGGCCTGTGATAACTGTAATTACTCGAAGATTTTTAGCACAGAAGGCCACTAGTTTATCAGTTTATACAGTCATGTGTCACACTCTCTAAATAAAGTTGATTGATTGACTGATTGATTGTCTGATTGATTGATTGATTGGTTGATTGATTGATTGATTGATTGATGTACAGTGAATACAGAGGGTTATGATGCTGTAGCCCCTTGCACAAGTTTACAAGCTCAAGATGCATTGTACATACATGTACATGCACATGTACATGTACCAGGTTACAATATTTCACTCGAAATATACAATTACACACTTTATACCATGTTAACTTAACTCAAAACGTTTTCAGTGATCTATTCCAAATTGAAGTTTCTGAGCTTTCCACAGTTCATTCAAAAGAAAACGAAAATACTTTACCATGCAAGATTTCGAGGAAATAAATCCACGTCTAAAAGACCATTTTCATCTAGAAGTTTAATCATATCATCTTCTGATGAACTATCTCCGTTCTTAAGAAGGAAGTATTTCTTCTTCCATGGGATGAACTGAAAATAAAAAAAAAAGTCAATACCAAGGATCAGTGATTTTGAATCATTTTTTGTGTTTTTGTGCAGCAGAATATTCAATAAGACAGTTAAAGATAATCTGCAGTCAATTGATACTTAGTGGAATTACATGTAGATAATGAAAATGGTACCAGTCACATGTAATTTTGGCGAAACGTTAATTTTGCAAATTCTATAATTGAAAAAAAAAGTCGCAAAATTAAAGTGACGTAAACAATAAGGGTCACTAACACAACATGACGCAAAAAATAAGTTAGTCACATTATGTCAATAATGTTTACAAAACCATATTTTTAACTGCAATGTACCTACCTTACACTTTTCACTGATGAATAATTCAAGTACAAACAGAAACTGTTTTGGTGTTACTGTTGACATATATACTGTAGTCCCACCCTTGCACTGTTGCTAATTTTGAACGTGAACAAAGACAAACTTTTTACAAAATAGCGCCAGCATGCTCCCTCGGGTAGCCAGTCACAGCAAAGGATTCGGTTCATCTTGCCTGTTCATGGAGCTAGCCATACAGTATAATAAATGTACATACATTTCCAGTTTCTGTAGCAGTAAGTGACCAGGAGTATCTCTACTCCCCTTGCATGGGGAGAGAGGGAGAGGGAGTTAACAGGGTTTTTCCCCCTCTTTCCCTGACCAACATCAACTTTGCTAGTACCCATTTACTGTATACACCTAGGTAGAACGAGGCACTGTAAGAGTAGAGTATTGTCCTGGAACAAAACACAATACAATTTTGGCCAGGTTCTGCACTTAACTAGGAAAGCAACATACTCACCGTGCCTCCCACTGACATCAAACAGACACCCCCATATACACTTTACATAAATGTACAACCACATGTAATAGCATTTCATGTATAAATTATAGAGTTGTATCGGAGCACAAGTCAAGTTCCAGCCTGAGTCAAGTACAAGTCATGAGTCAAGCTCAAGTCAAGTTAAATTTGACTCGTGCAAAGATACAACTAAAAAAAAATGCCATTACCGACTCTCTTGAGATTATGTCATACCACTGGCGGCACACCAAGGCACAGTTCAACATCAAATCCACAATCGGTAACTGACAGAAGATATTCTCCAAAATCTCTACAGGCAGCTGAGCAAAGTCACTGTCACACTGGCTCAAATCCTGTGAGTCGCCACCATCTTCATCTGAGTCATTGACATCGCCGCCAACAAGACCAAATGTGGACTTTGCTGATGCCTGTTTTTTAGTTTGTTTCACAGATTTAGACGAAAGTGATGATTTTTTGCAAAAAGATGCGGTATTCTTCTGATCAGATTCACTAGAACTAGTGCCCTTGTAACTCCTTTCTCCCTTGCTGTCTTGACTAGATTCAATACTTGTAGAAGATTGAGAACAAGTAGAACTTTCTTCCACTTCTGAATCACTCTTAAGTTTTGTGCCACGAACCACATTCATAATTACACAACAGTCATCGTCGCTTACACAATTCTCGTCTTCGCTATCAACAGTAATTGTTTCTGGGACACGTTTCTGCTTTTTGGCAAACCTGCCTTTCAAGTGATTCTGTGCTCTTGAATTTGACCTGCGTGTTCTTCTACTATTTCGCGGTGATGGACACGAGGAGGATGAATTTGATGACGGCGAACTTGAACTAGAAGATGTTGACGACGCCATGAGGCCAAGCACACGTGTATGGTCAAAGTGCGTTTGTGTTTTCTCTGCAGAACTATTTTTCAATGGTGAACATGCACAAGTAACATGCCCGGAAACTGCACATTTGCAAGTTGTACTTCCTAAATTACGCTGACCTGACAAAATTTGCTGGTTTTCCGTCCCTGAATAACATCCTCCAGATTGCTGATGAATTTTTGCCGCAGTCGTGAAACCAAACACCGGGGTAAATGTAACTTGATCCGTGCGTCCCTTGACGCCAGTTGTCCGATGGTGATTTTCGCCGCGCGAACCAGGATTTGCCTTCACGAGAAAATTCACCTCTTCCTTATTGATACCGCTCCTTGGAGTGAAATATTGTGAGATTATCCGTTGATGTGGAGATGAAATAGTCTTATCTCGCTTTTTCTGAGAGGAGAAATGTCGAGCCATGACAAATCTGTAGACCTGTTTTACAATTTTGTACTCTTGTAACGGATCCAGTTGGCCGCCATGATAGTTTCCATTTTCTTTACCAGTGCCGCTCGACGCTATTGGCCACTTGGAAACTCAGTACTATAGTA